CCGGGCAGAGCCCCGCGCCGGGACGGGCCACCAGCTCCATGCCGGCGAAGAGGGACAGGCTGCGGGAGGGCGCAGCAGCACTCGCCGTGTCCCCTGCCAGCCTGCTCGCCGCCTCCTGCTCGCAGGGGCAGGCCGGCAGGGCGGCACCGGGATGCCCGTGGATCTCCGCTTCCACCCTCCGCTCCTCGCCGCAGGCCGGCGGGGCCACGGGGAGCGGGGCTGCGCTCAGGGGGGTGAGGATGCTCTCGCCTGCCAGGGGCAGAATGTCCGTCAGCAGGTCCCCGGTGCCCGGGGCTGAGCACACGGCAAGGGCAGAGGGCTCCGAGTCCGGGCGCGTGCTCTTCGGGGAGGGCTGGCCTCTGCAGAGAGCCTCGAACTGCCGCAGGATCTGGGAGGAGAAGGGTGGGACGGGCGGGAGTGAGAGCGGCATCAGGAAGGGGGCCCCGACCCCGGCACCTTTTCCCAGGCAGAGAGACTGTCCTGGGGATCAGCCCCGGCGTCCCCTCCCAGGGCTCAGCCTTGTCTCCTGGGGAGGGAGCATCACAGCCCCCAGGCTCCCTGCTCCTGGGAGAGGCGGACAATTCCCACCCCTCTGGGACACACACGGAACCACTCCCAAGAGAGCTGGGTGTCCCCGAGGAGGGCAGGCCAGTCCCCGGGAGCCCCCTGCCCCGGGGAGAGGGCACGGGGACGTCCCAGGAGTCACCTTTGTTGCTCGGTTGGCGACGGGGCCGGGGCTGCCTTGGCTGAGCTGCTGCAGGTGCTGCCGAGTCACGGCAAAGATCTGGTCCAGGGCGAGCAGGTCAGAGCACATGAGGGAGGAGATGGCGCACATGGATCTCTGCGGGGAGGAGAGCGCGGCTGAGCTGGGCAGGCAGGACAGGCACCGAAATGCCCCAGCTCGGCGGTGCTTCTTCCCCCCCGTCCCTCCACCCCGTGCCTGCAGCGGCACGGGCCGGGGTGGGCGGCACCGCGGGCACGTGCCGGTGGCACACTGGGACTGCCCCGCGCTCACCATGCGGACGCTGTCATTGGGGTCCTCCAGCGCCCGGCTGAGCAGCTCCAGCACCACCTCGCAGTTCAGCAGCCCGCACCTGGCCAAGGGGGAGCGGTTACGGCCACGTCGGCCAACGCAGCACCCTGAGTCCCGGGAGCAGGCAGCCCTCCTGCCTGGCAGCATCTTGGCCCCGGAGGTCTGGGCCAAGGCAGCCAGGGGGGTGAGAAGGGCTCGGGCTGCCCCTCAAAGCCCCCGCAGCGCTCCCCACCCAGCCCCACAGCACCCATGGTCCCGGGGAGAGTCCGCCTTGGGCACTTACTCCTTGATGAAGTGCTGTGCTTCCTCCCTGGTGAGGAAGACCCTGGCGCCGCGGGTCAGCACCGACACCAGGCTCACCTCCCGCACGCAGTCGCCCGGGCTGTCAGCGTCCACCCTGCCCGGGGAGATGCCTCGGTGGGGACCGGGGCCAGCCCTGCTCCCTCCTGGGGTCCCAGCGCAGACCCCACCACCCTCCAGCAGGCAGGGAGTCCCTCCCAAATCAGTTCCCCTGCCCGTGGCTCTGCCCACCCGCAGGCTGCCCGAGCTGGGAGGCCAAACATCCCAGGAGGAATCCAGCCAGCAGTGCCAGGGAACTCCGGATTAATGGCGTGGAAAACAAGAGCACCATTCCTGGAGACGAGGGAAGCGTCTCAGAAGGTCCCAAGGGAAGAGGAGCCCCCCCCACGGCCCCGTTCTCACCTCTCGGCCATGTGGGTCAGCTCCCGGCTGGCCCCGGAGTGGCTGTCGCTGCCCGATTTGCTGCAGGAGTCCGAGGTGCGGCTCAACTCGCCGTTCCCTTGCGAGGAGTCCTGGGAACTGTGCCCGCTGTCCGCCTCCTCCCAGCCGCCCCCGGCCAGCCCCGGCCGGTGACTCACTGCAGAGACGACAGCAGGGAGGTCTTGACCCCCAACCAGCCCCAGTAAAAAAGGGAGCCCCCCGCCGGCCCCCCCGGGCGGCCGGTAGCTGCCCCAACCCAGCGGCAGAGGGACCTACCTCGGGTGCTGTGCGCTGCGGCGACCGCTGGTGGCTTCACGGCCCCGGCCGGGCTCCTGGCAGGTGAGGGGGCCCTGACGGGCTGGTAGGCGTCCTCGTGGAGCGTCCTGCGGCGAGGCCGGGGCCGAGGCGGGGGCCCCTCCGGCAAGGGGAGCACAGCGTGGGCCACCGCTTCGGCCGCTCGCTGGATGGTGCTGAGCAGGGCTTCCCCTGTCGAAGCTGGGCAGAGGCCAAGGCGTCAGGCGCTTCCCGGGGAGCCCAGCCCAGCCCCCGGGCACCCACCGCCTCGCAGGGTGTCACGAGGGGACCTGCCGGCAGAGAGAAGCGGCCCCGGCAGCCGGGCCCC